GCACCATCCTGAGCCACATGCTTCTTACATTTATCACCCTACTTTTATGTATATCATATATGAATAGGCAAATATATCCTGATATGAATAAGCAAAACTATCCTCCCTTTCGTATAAACTAAGGTTCCTAAAATTGATGGGACGGGTTCTATAGAAACAGCAAAATCATCAACGAAACGTGCATTCTGACAGGATATGTATCATGTCTTGATGATTTCGCTTTATAAATAATTTGTTTACAAGCTGATTAAGATTTATACCAATGTATGTACCTCCACTGGTGTAAGGAGCAAGAACTTTAAAAGTTTTTGTTTAAACGTATTTTAACTTTTTAATGTTTTAACTAATAGTAACAACTTTTAAATTAACTTTTGAGTATAAGATTAGCTAGCTTAAACGGAGATTAAATCAGAGAACATTATGTTAGTTTCAGTGTTCAGTTTGTGTAAATTAACACATAAATTAGCTGATTACTTCATAAAGGTTGCATAGCCTTAAAAGTTTTACACATTTTAATAACAGAGAAAAAATATTATACAATGAAGAAAGCTTTTTCCATAACATATTCCTAAACATAACATAAAATATGAGATCTATTAGCTTATAAATAAATGTTTATCAACTTACGTTTTCACACGAATATAAATTACTCATAAAAAGAAATAAATTACAACAGTAAAAAAGTCTAGGATTAAGTAAAACGATAGTTAAAATCAAAACCCTAAAACATTCAAACTGCTGTTCAAACGATCGGCTTTGTAACGGTCTATAAACAAATTTGATTTAGAGATCAATTGATGTCACGCCACAACTGCACAAGTGAATAGAACTCACATCAATCGATGCCGCGTATTGTGCCATTTCCATTGTCACACTGAGACTGTATAGCTACGAGAAACGTTTCCTTAGTAAAAAAATCAAAAAAAAAATATGTGTGTACTTGTTTAAGCACGTTAGAAGTAATACTTCTTTAACGGAACACAAGAAATAGATAAGCTAAAAACTCTATCCCGTGTGTCAGTGCTCTTTACTTGTGAAAAAGGATTTTAAATGCAATTGATCACGATTTAATTAAATAACTTAGTGTTATAGGTAAAAGTCTAAAGTTGTTAATGGGTGCCATGATCCAGTAAACTGTATATATCAGTAAAGTCACTTAAATATTATAACAATTGACTCAAAGCACCCCACTCTTCACTGCAACAAAAAAAATTGTTAATCACACCATTCATAATTTAAATTTATTGAAAATTATATACTTTCTATTTAGGTTATCTACGAAAGCGAGTTTTTTTGGTTTTTTAAACTATTTTTTTTTTTAAACTCTGCTGAGCATAAAAGCGTGATTTTTATTATTTTAAACATTTTTTAAATGCGTATTTGGCACAAGGACACTACCGGCTATCGGAAATGGAAAATAGCTAATCCTGAAGGTGCTGATTAGGATAATGGGAAAAAATATTTAAATTGTTGCATTTTCATGGATCTTTGACGAGTGTGCAAAGTTGGCATTCAAATCCGATCGTTCAAAGTGGGGCGAGCTCACGTTTAAACATTACATTCATTCACACACACAAGTGAAACTAATAAAAGCGTGTTAAAAATGCAATCGAGCAACTAGAAAATTGTTTTCAAAACGTCAAATGATATCAAAATTGTAAAGTCACCAATGTCAAAAACAAAACAAATACAATAACAAAACAAATTAACGTAATATTAGCATGTCGGTGACGTGGACCTATATATATTTCCCTATCCAAAATTTCTCAACGTGCCTATAGAAGATTTCGTTTCAAAAAATAATAAATATATAAATGACGTGAAATAAGAGTACTCATATCTTGTAATTTCAAAAAAGCTGTGTTTGCGAAACACAACGTGCAGTAAAAAATAAACTAGTAAGTAGCCAGTAAACTGATCCTGGAATACGTTTTAAAAACAAGTAAGTATCCAATTGGAGATTTGTCGCAAGTATACCGACTGCACAACAAGACCAAGCCAATTATTTATTTCTCTTTTATCTTTTTCATATGCACGATGTAAGAGCTACTTTTCGTGGAGTTTTACATCAAGTGCCTTCAAAAGATAAAAATACGAATATAACATTAGTGTGTCTTATAGTTATAGGTTCCAGTTGAAAATTGTTTAAGCACGAAATATGGCAGCCAATAAATAATTTGTGTTCGGTTTTCAATAATCAATAATTAACAGTCAATCTATTCCCTAGGCAAAAATTAAACAGAAAAAGACAAGGATGTTAAATCTAACGCACATGTGTAATTTCGGTTCGAAAATGGCGTTGGCATTTGTGACATTTTGACAACTTCCATTCGTTAGTAGATGTTCTTGTTTTCTTTAGTTTTATTATCATTGAAATTGAACAACGCTATTGAGCAACATTTTTGATGAGTCACTTGTGTATTAGTTGAGTCTATCATGATACTTTGATATAATGGCAAGTCCGGTCATTTACACGTATTCTGGCCTATTATATATTTTATTTTATATATATTATCCGAAGTTAGTAATAGGAATTAATATATTTTACTATCCAACATATTTTAAGCATGTATTAAGACATAAAAATTTCATAAAATTCTTGCAAGTCTTTTTTACAAAAACCCCTTACGCAATATCCCGCGGAGATTCTGATACTAATTCAAATTTTCTACCAAATCCAGTAAACAAACGGGCCTTCTCTTATATTAAGATATTCCCTTTACGTGTTTGTTTGCGGAATAATGTTAGCGACGGTCTATGTATTGTATTACGATATTTTAGGGGAGAAAATACCCAGAAACACAAAATGGATTTGGCTTGTGATATAATATTATCAGTTCATTTTTAGAAACTCTTACAAAGCAATTTTAAATGATTGTGCTTTGGGAACGTTACTTATCATACTGGTTGTAAATAAAATAAATGTTTGAATTTTAAAGCATTTTAAGTCAGATAGTCAGATGCGATAGGAACCTTCTTAACAGCAGGGTTATGTTACCAACTTCTATGTAGGTTGGCCCCAGATCGGCCCCAGATCTTACTTAAGAAGATTAAAAGACAGCGTTAAGAATCATCACTACACATCGTATAAAACAAAGTTGTCCAACTGTCTGTATGTCCCTATGTATGCTTAGATCTTTGAACCTACGCATCTTGACGTTTTTTTAGTAGATATAATGATTCAAGAGGAAGGTTTATTATGTAAATACATTGCACCCGTGCGAAGCCGGGGCAATCCGCAAATAGTATATATAAAAATCTATGTAATATTCTTTACGCTTGTCTTGGCAGTGCCCTCGATGAGTTTGCCTGTATATGCAACAGCAAAACAGAAATCTTGAACGTGTTTTAAAAAAAATTACCCCTAATTTAGAAAAGGTCACCCTGGGTTGTAAAAGCGTTAAACAAACAAAAAAAAAAAAATATCCTGGGTGGACACACGAATCGCGGCGCTGAAATATCGCTTTCGTTCATAAGCCATTATAAATACCACTGGGCTGTTGGGTTACCTCAGTCACCAGACGAAAAGTGAAAGTATAAATTCAGGACGATAATCCGAGGTGAGGTGCTTCTCCGATGAGCCAGCCCATTCATGTAATAGCAGAAGCTGATGCGTGATCTTGCCACAGTAAACCTTAATTAGACTTAAGTTTTACATTTTTTTATTTTTATTTTGTTTTACATAAAACTAATTCGGACAGTATTAGTTTTATGTCAAATTTAAGTCTAATTTGATTTTATAAAAAGACAATACGTGAATGTGACCCAACGTTGTGTATATAAAATAAATACATAATGTATATACATATATGTATGTCATCGTAGATATCCTCTGAGGCAGTCAAATCTCGTTAACTAGTGGAAAGGTCACTAGTAAACGCACAAGGACTAGTATAAGAAAGATATTTTACACAATAAAACAAACTTTTTAGGGTTTCACCTTTACAACAAAAAAATATATTCACCAAATTTACACATTTAAAATAAATGAAGAGACGTCAGGATAATTCTTTCTTTTTTTCATAAAAATAAAACGCCCCGCATTAGGAAACTTTTCCAGGGTAGGCACAGAAGTGTGTGTGTGTTCTTTGACACACTGTGGAGCACACAAATTTGCCCCACCTTGAAACCGAGCCCAAAACACGTCGAAGAAATCACTGGAGTTATTCATGAAAATTAGAGAAAAAAAGTAAATAAAAAGAACTAACTTGCACCGTCATAATTAATACTAAAAATTAATTCAAAGCTGCCACTAGTATCATCGGAACAAAAACTTACGACAAAACAACTCGTATTGTCAATGGACGAAATTGAGTTAGGCATAATTTGATATCTCTATTCAATTTTCCACTCCGCTTCCATTATTAGGCTCCGCCATTGACTTTCACAATTGGAAGGGTCCTTCTTAATTCAGTTTCGTTTTTGTTCGATAAGAAAGCAGTGAGATACAAATAAGTTAACAGCAATGAAGTTCCTCTAAATTTTAACACAAAAGTGTGTCATCGTGTTTCTTAAATTTTATTGGATAGGCAAAGATGCTACTAACTACTTAATTTTTTACCGGGTATAGTCTAGGTTAAGTAATATTTTTTCCCAGTATATAGAAATTCTCTTTAGCCCTGTTATACTAAGCGAATAAATATTATAAAATATTTATAAAGCTTATGGGTACACGATAATGTGATTGAATTACTTTCCTTCGACACTCTTTCATAATTTACGTGACATGTGAATTTATAATTCCAGATATAGTAATGAAAATCTTTTGATAATCGTTAACGATTGCCTTGACACTAATCGAATTTACGCCGGATATGCCGTAACGTTTTTTACAATCAGATAAGAGGAGCCGGAACCGGCCGGGATGAAGACGTGATGTTGTTCATCTATACGTGATTTTGCAATTAAGTAAGAGCTCAAAAAATAACCCTATATTGAATAGAGAAGTTTTGACTTTAACTTAGAACTACTAGACCTACTAAATGCCTGGCCAATGGTGAATGCCCTTCAATGACGACAAGAAGTTCACCATCATATTACCTGCGCTAGATCTGCAAGGCCAGGCAATTAAAATCCAGAACGTCATAACGTATCTTGGGTGCAAATGGTCCCCAACGTCGTCTTTGCCCCAATCATCCAGACTCGATAACACTCCTGCTCACGACGAGATACCACCTCGCAGGAGCGACCGATCCAGGTCTGGAACACATACCACCACCACGTGGACCACGTAGAAATAAAATCTTCCCATCCCTTCCATGCTTACCTTCTTCTTTGACAGTTTGATGGATGAGTAGTTAACAGAAGTTAAATAATCTAACATGTCCTAAATCCGCGTAGGCGAAGAGACCAGTTGTGTCAAATCATTTGCCATAGCAAAGCCGTGTTGTGATCTCCCTGCATGATCGGTGAATGTTAATATTTTCTTTAATCATAATAAGACATTTTCGGCTTATCGAAGAAATGTTTAAGAAATAGTTGCTTAAGTAATCACAAGTGACTTCTTATCAGAATAATTTTGGTTTTCTACCGCACACTAAATTAGGTACGATTGAAAATAAATCCATTATTTAGGTTAACGGAATAATACAAACGCATTTAATTTTGATTGACGCAAATATTATTCAGTTAGAACTGTTATGTGACACAACTTGCCTATAAATTTAGTTTGCGTAGATGAGCTTAGCGTAATCCTATTATATCCGGTGCTGTGTTCAGTGTTCTGACAACTGTGAATTAATTCAGAAATCTCAATGCATTGTTGTATTTAGGTTTAATAATCTAGAGCGGGCTAAGGATTTTTTTTTGTTAATTGAGAAAATATAAATATAGTTTCTAAATAATTTTACTGAAAAGTTTACGAAAAATATAGTAACCTTTATTGTTATTATAGCTATGTTCTTTTTTAATAATATATTAATCTTTATTTAAATCGCAAAGTTTTATGTTAAAATTACAAGCACATTTGTGGTAAGTAACATATTGAAAATTAAACAATCTATGATCTGAAAGGTTCTGACCTCCTAAGTAGGTTTAGTCAGATAAGTAGGTTCAGTGTGCTCATACGAGCGTGTGAGCGTGTAGCGTGTGTGTGTGTGTGTTAACCATCATATTGAATAACGTAGAATTATACTCGTAAGGAAGGCCACGGAATGACAAAAAACTGTCAAATATTCATTCATTCATCCATTTGACCTGTTTTAGTCCACAAAACTGTCACAAAGCACGATCCTGAGCCACCTGCATCCATCAGCTTCTAGGAAATTTGCAGAGGTCGTCATTCCATCTAGTTGAGGGAGGGTCTTTGGAGGATCTTTCTTTCCATCGTTTATCAGTTCTTCTACAAGTTATATGACTGGCCCATTGTCACTCCAATACCATTTGTTTGTTAGTAGCACTGTGCTTGTAGTTATCTAGTATGTTTACCAAAGAGGTTAATCGGCGAATCGTACTCAGACGGGTAGCATTAGAGCCTCATCTCGTCAAATGATGTTTGGAGACAATTTGTGATAGATCATAGACATCGTAACGCGGATATCCGCAGTTGATAAAAAAACGACACAACTCAGAAGATTAGTAATAAATGTAATATATCCAAATAATTAATACCTATCCTTGTGACCCTTCACATCTTTTAACTATTATTTTAATTCATCAATGTAAAACTTTTCAGGTTATGTTTTGAAATGGTACTGAGACTACTTAATTATTTTCATTAAACTAGATGTTCTTTTATCTGTATTTAAATAAACATCACTTTGTTTTCTACAAATCAGACTCAGTCTGCAGTAGAAAAAAAAAAGCAGCTTTTTCAATCCTTACCTTTCAAGAAAATACTTATTATCTAAAGGCCATTTGCACCTGGTAATAAAACTTTATTCTTACTTTGTTACTACTTTTGCAAATTCGCGTTCAACCTATTCATGAATATTACTTTACTTCTGCTGTTTATAAAATTTAGTATTGTATTCGTGTAAAGTACTGAAATAATAATATTTTATATGGTACTAGATGACCCGGCAAACGTCGTTTTGCCATACAAATTATTTGTAGGGTAGAAAAAAATGTTAGGGGTCGACCACTCTTAAATTTAGGGAGATGAAAAATAGATGTAGTCCGATTCTCCACCCGGACGGATATGCTCATAAAATTTCAAGAAAATCGGTCGAGCCGTTTCGGAGGAGTTCAATTACAAACACCGTGACACGAGAATTTTATATATTAGATTACCGTTTCTTTGTTACTTATGTATTTGTTCTTATTCCATTGTAGTTGTGCAAATGAAAATGTTCAGAGAATCATCACAGGAATGCTTTAATCTTAAAAAGTTCAAATAAAAATCAATACGTTTTTATAATGTAACGCGAATAAAATATTGTTCTATATTTATTTGCTATGAACTCACTTTTACATTTATGTACAAAGTCGTAGGCCTCTGTCCCTCTAAATTTTATTTTTTGCGTAACTTATAATAAAACAAAATGTCATTATAACTTAAACTAACTGTGGTAGGGCCACGTATTTTTGCACGAATGTTCAGGAGAGTACCACGAACTTACAATGGACCGGCATGAAGTGAAGAATTTCGTGATTCTAGGTCAACAGCAACTACCATATAGTAATCGACCTAACACCTGTAGGATACTTCCGGTGGACCTTTACAATTTCGGTTAAAAGCAAGGTCTTACAGCGCAAGTACAGTAAAAATTTTGAGAAATAAAAAAGTTGAGAATTAAGGTTTCTTCTGGTACTTAAAAGTTTTCACGGAAATCTAAATTTGCCCATATTTTTTTATCATGTTGACTCAGAACCTTGATTTATTTAGACTTACACCTAATAGGGGCTATAGACCTCAGTATCTGGTATAATTTTCAACTTGCTAGGTCCACCTGCTACTGAACAAATCTGTAGTGACACACGGACCGACAGACGAACAAGAGAGTGATCTTATAAGGGTTCCTTTTTTACCTTTTAACGTACGGAAATATAAAAAGAACTCATTCAGAGCCCGCTTTATTGAATTCTATACAGTCAACATTTTCATATAGCACTGTACGCTATTATCTGTTCAGCGATATTTCGATAAGCCATTCAGACTTCACAAGCCGCGAAATTTTCCATTAATGTAATGTACTCTGAGCGAGCGCTTTTCATTGAAACTTTCCCTACCCAAACGCATGTTTAAGAATTTTAACCGTTTTTGTTAAATCGACCGTTATATTTTTTCATAAAAGTATATTTGAGCTTTTCATGCTGTTTGTTAAACTTATATGGGCATAACAATATCTAGTAATTAGCGAAAGACATTGACTACTTTAATACTGTTTGTTACACGAATTGGAGTACAACATCAAGCGAAAGTGAACCTATTCCGTCAAGTTTATACTTATATAGCTTATTTTCAATGAGCCACTGCAGTATAAAACAGTTTTGAGGCGTCACAAAAACCATGCAGTTTCAGATCACAATTTTGTCTCTTTGTGGGGTGAATTGGTAACCACTTTAGGAGTTTAATTTGATTAAGTTGAGATAGTTTGGAATATTTACAGAATACTCTAAGTCGTTCTCCTCACGGTTCCAAGTAAACTAGAATTTCATTTCCTCCTCAAAGCCTATCCCGCTATACTATTCTCTGATACTTCTTTTTTGAAAAATATTGTGTATTTTACTTCATTTACAAATCATATAAGGGAACAAGTATTATAATTACAACGAATAAGTGTCTTAGATGCGGATATCTATACGAATCATTTTGTAAGGTGTTCAAAAATGCGCGCAAATAGTTGCGAACGCGGTCTTGTCTTGGTCTTAACAACCAAGCTAAGCGACCCATGACCTCACGATAAGAATATCTTTACATTTGTCTCTTACTCCGGCAACGTCAGCTTAATTAAAACGCTCAACATTTTTTTATTTATATTAAACAATCTATCAGGTGACAGGAAAAGTTTTATACATTTTGGGACTAATTTAGATTAGCCAATTTTTTAAAATAAATATTAAAAGTAAACAAACGCAATGTGATATTCAGCTTAAAAATAAGTGTACATTCATTTGTGACTTTGTTTTCATTTCTTAAAAGTCCCGAGAAATCCTATTACTTCTTATCACATACAAATAGCACACAGGATACAAGTAATAGCAGAGTGTTCTCAGGTAATTACACTATCTTTACAACAATACAAATACTAAATTAAAAATGAATTCCCAGAACATTCTAAAACCGTAACAGCTTTTATATGACCCGGAATAAATGTTTTTAAATATTTTTTATAAAGATGTATAAGTTGGTACTCTCATTTAAATAAGAGTTAAAATAATTAAACAACACGTTTGAAAAGTTACGGGTTAAGTTGTAGTGATAGTTATACAAATTATGCTCTCTCTTTTCGACATTTCGAAGACGTCGCCAGATGTTAACCAATACCCTCTTTAACAAAGAGGGTGATTCTCGCCCGTTTTCTGAATCACTGATCACTTCTACGATGATCAGTGTTTCAGAAACCGAGCATGAGAGTACGAGACGTACACACATTCATATTTTTATATTATAACTTTCAATTCAAGTTACTGAAATTTAACGAGAAAAACGAGAACCGCAGCTTAAACTGTTTGTATTACAAATAGTTTACTTAACCGATTTACGTAAAGTGCAGAAAAAGACCAGCTGGATCAAGAAAATCCCAGGCGTTCACTGATGACCGGCGTGAAATAAAATTGTTCATACCTTGCTACAGGGTGAAAATGTAAATAATAAAAGTTATTAATTACTATACAAAATCACTGTGGTAGAGCCACGCAGCAGCAACGAAGTAATAATCACCGCCCCAAAGAAGATCAGAAACGGAAGTTGACGTATTACATTTTAGCGTTTCGTCTGGTAAGTGAGAGGGACTGAAGGACTTATAATCAGGGGAATTATTATTTTTGTTTTTATTCGGGGGTTGCAAATATCGAGAACGAACCTCAATTGGCGATAATTATGTACAAGTTATAAAATTCTAAACGAAACAAAAAGTGAGCAAATCATATGCAATTGGACTGTGACAGTTCCCACGGCTACGTGAATAGTATTGATTATTTTTGATTTGTTCTACCCATGTGAAACCGCACAGTTCTTTTTCATCTAATCATATTTATAAATAACTAGCAGCCAGCGCCGGCTTCGCACGGGTAACAATACTTTTAACAAAAAATTTTAAAATTAAAAATTATCATACACACACATAAA